ACCTCATGTGCCAGCCACGTCGTCTTAACATCACCCAATTCAGTCAACAAGATCACCCCTTCGATTTGACCCGTCACTCTTGAACCATGATTTCAATGTCATATCAGACCGTATCCCACCAACCTCGGACATCAGTGGCGGGCGGGCGGGCCACTCCACTCCGCTTGCCGTCTTCCTGATTCACGGTTTCCATGACGTCGCGCTCGTCGTGTCCAATTCCACGAGGGAACCATGACCATTATAGGAAGCAGACGTGGAGTCGTCGACTTCGACACGCTCCTTTGCTACGTTCATCCCATTGTCCGAGTCGTTGTTAGATAGATAGATGGATACACGTCAAGTGGCCCCTTCAGGACCCGTGGGAGTGGCATTGCGCAGTCATGAATTACGATACAGTGCTACAGGACGACCGTTCCCCTCACACACAGTCGCTTGTAGAGACTTTCCGAGCCGAATCACGAACTTACTTCGAAGCCGGTAGCGGTAGGACATTCGTTCCGTCAAGACAAGCATGTACTTAGTATTGGTTCCCAGTTATCTCTTCTGGGGGCAATGAACACCCTTTATAGAACCAATCCTATGATGAAACCGTTATGAGACTGTTGATGCTTTGTAGATAGATGCCTTGAGTCAACAGAATCAACAAACTAATGCATGATCGTTATGATCGTTATGATCATCATGCTTGCTATATGAATGACCTTCCTCGGCAGTGGCGTTCTTTAACACCGTCATTCATCAAAGTTCTTGGTTGGATTTCAGTACTTTTTCGAATACGCATGCAATCTAATCGTCTAAAGAAATAGAAAGATTATGGATTCTAAGGGGCCCAAGCGTTCAAATCTCTGGTAAGCTTTCAAGTTTGGAATGAGTTGACTACACATCTCTGCTTTTAATAACACGGTCTGACTTTTTTAAGAGCATGAAGTGAAGATTTTTCAGGACGACTTTTAACATTACATCCGCCAGTGGGTCCTATACGAGAAGGGAGCTCAGTCAGCTAAAGCAAAAAGGGACATCAGGAAAACTCTCCCACGGAAATAATGTATGAATTTCGGCAAACTTTGAAATTTTTGAAACTCGGCAAAAGTAGTCCCTAGTTCCGCCCAATTGTACTAATTTCTGAAATTTTCAGCAAATTGACGCAAATGCTTCAAAATGTCTGTAGCTGAGTAACTAAGTACAGTACTGAAAGGCATGTCTTTTTGTATAAACTTATTGAAGATAGCAAAAGGTAGGTGGCAATGTCAATATTAAATATCTACAGAAAAGGCTTCATGTATGTCGCCCTGGAGTATCATAGCCAAACACTGACAGAGGCTTTCGACTTAGGTTTTTTTCCAACTTAGTCATTTAGAAGTCCGTTGCACGGTCACATGATATTTGAAGCGGAGTCTCAATTTGTTATTTATATAGTTTCTGGACACGTCGATTCTTTCCCTCTTGCTTCTTTCTCCCACTTCCTTTCTCCCACTTACCGTCCCTCATTCCCTTAGTCATTTTTCTTATCGGCTTTCGGGCCTCGTGTGCCAGTACCGATTCTTTTTTTGTAGAAAGAGTTTTGGGTTCTATGTCTACGGTCTCGGTGAGTGCCAGCGCATTTGCGTGCATCCTATATTCTTTTTATACTTGTCTCGCATTTGTCCTAACTTGCATATGTTCATACAGCATTTACCATCCGAATCCCTCTTCATTCTTCCGGCTATCCCTGATTCCCCTCATAAACTCCCTGGCACCTTACTACCTGTAAGTCATACTACACCCGTTCTAGACAGACATATTTTCAACAATCTTATGCTTTACACTTTTTCTTTACTCACAGGTCTCCATTTGGATTTTCCGCACAGTACGTATCATTTTTATTATTTGGTAGATGATGACAACTTATTTCATGGCATTAGGCATTTATGTTGATCCCACTATTGATACTACTTCGTTACTTGTCTTTAACTGTTTTTATTACCTGTACTATAGTAGTTCTTAATATAAAGTTTTTCTTACGCTGCAATATACAAGTCTGACTGAACGCCAACTATAAATTGAAAGAAAATGCAGTCCAAAGGCTCTGTAATCCGGCCTAATTTCCCAAAATTTGCTTTAAATTTTCAAAACGCGCAGGGGGGGCTAGCTATTTCGCACCAAATTTTCAAAATGCAAAAATCGTAAAAATGTGAGGAAATTTGACAAATTTTCGAAATTTTAGAATATTCTGGGGATATTTTGGCGTGGCAGTTTTCCTGATGGAACCAAAAAAAATCAATACATACAGTGTCGTCGTTCGTTGAGGTTGAGCTCAAATCGAGGACGCGTGCATGTGCGCTTACTCGACAGGATAGTGCAGCCCCCCCAACAAGGTCAAGTCTTCGATTGAGGCCCATTGCCGTTTTGTTGATTTTTAAGCTCGCCAAAGTTTCTCAACAGTACCTTGATAAATAGGTCCAATAAATGTTTCTACTTACCTAGGGGACCACAGCAACTTGAACTGGCTTTTTTTGAAGCTCTCGATGAGACATGGCACACTTGATTATATCGAGTTTTTATGCATATATATGTTTAATGAGTACTATGGATACAAATAATGAGATAAGCTGTAACGGTTAGGGATAAGTGCTGTGTTGTATGTGAGAGGGAGAAGGACAGATGGGAGAAACCCAAAGACTGGAAACAAAAGAAAAAGAAAAAGGAACGGGAAAAGTAGGGATACATGTCATGTATGCGTGGTCGTGTGAAAGAAGGCGTAAGTATAAGAGATTTTTTACCAGTAACGACCGTGAAAAAAAAGGGAGTTTTTTTGGGTGACTGAGTACAAGTATAACATGGAGTTTAGGGATTTTGTGTTTGGGACGAGTGCCGAGAATGCAGAGGTTATTAGGACCTATTAAGGATTGAGAAGAAGAAGAGAAAACAAGTCGGTGAATGAGTTGAACGAAACGGACAGAAAAGAGAAAAAGAAAAAGATGGATGAACGAAAGAATCAAGAACGTTCGAAGGAAGAAGTATATAGAAGAATAGGTTTGGCAAGGTGAACCGTGACGGAAAAGTTAGGGCGAGGATGGAGAATTTGGGGTGAGAGGGTGAGAGGAACAGAGCGCGGAGTATACCAGCAAAAAAAAACTGGTTGAATCCTACTAGACTTGCAACTCGGGCTTGGGTTTGCTGGATCCCTTGGTCCATACCGATAGATTATCGAGTCCGAGTCCGAACCCAGTGGAAACGTTCATCCTCGTTATAATCCTAGTACGAAAGGATCAGTACATCAGCTTTCAGGTCCCAAAAAAAACAACTCACCTTCTCAACCCCCTCCCTATCATCCCTTTCCGTTCCGCCTTCCTCCTCTCCCCTTCCTCAATCGCCCAAAGCCATTTCTCCAAAAACACTTTTTCGAGTCTCAAATCGGTCACCTTTTGTCTTTGTTTTTCGCTTCTAGTACTTCTTCGATCCCTCGCCGAGCTATCCGCCTCGGCCCTCTCTGCTACATCCAAATCCGACTCTGACGATTCCGACTGGGACTGGGACGAGTGGGACTGGGACGACTCCATCCGCGAAAGCAAACGAGCGAGCTTCTCCTCTACTTCTCTCAACCTCGCTCTTAAATCCTCCGTCATATCGGGTCCAGGTCGGAGTAATAAAACCTTTTTCGGCTTGTACCCCATCATCCTCGCCACCTTCTTTCTGTAGCCCTTTTTCCAATTCCCATTCCTCCCGTTGGAAGCCAACAAACCCAAAGCCCCAACAACCTCCTCCCACTCCTCGCCGGCATCCCCAACTCTCCTCCATTTCTCTCTCTGAATCTCTCTAGCTTCTAGTTTGATCTCCCGTTGAGTTTGTTGAATTTTTGCGATGGCGTGTTGATGGGCCTGGACGAGACGGATTGGGATGAGATGGAGGGGGAGGTCGGAGGTGTATTCTGGTTTGATTTGGGGATGGGATGAGGAGGAAGACGAAGACGGAGACTCTGATGCGGATGGGAACGAGGACGAGGATGGAGATAAAGACCGGGACGGAGACGGAACAGCCAAAGACTCGACAATAGAACCCGTCTCGAGCCTAGAAATAGCAGGACAAGCATTAACCATATCCCTAACCACACCCACACTACACCCAAACAACCTCAACTCGTTCACCCCTTCCAAACAGCCCTTCCTAACCCCAGTCGGACTCAAATCGAGAAGGAACTCTTGTTCGATCGTAGATGGAGAGATGGAGGAAGGGTAATGGAAGTGAATGGAGAGAGAAGAGACTTGAGGAGGGAAACAGCTTGAGTGGAATTTGTAGTAGGTGAAGAGGGAAGGGGTGGTGCAGGAGTGGAGATCGAGAGAGATGGAGTGAAGGTGAGGTGTTGGAGGCGACAGGGGTGATACGGGGATAGATTTGGAAGGGAGAGGAGGGGTAAGACAACGTAACAAGGAAAAGATGGAAGACCCGATAAGAGAATGCTCGTAATCCTGTTTTTGAATGAACAACTGAGAGGGATGTTTCGTCCCGACGTATTGAAACGTGAGTGACCGACAGCGTTGAGGCATTAACAAAGCGAGCGAGGAACATAGGGAGAACGTCGACAAAGAGAAGGAGCAGGAAGCGCTGGTGCGGAATTGCAACGGTTTGGATTTAGATTTTGGTTGGGAAGAATGGTGGAATTGGAGGGCATCGCAGAGGTGGAAAGCAAAGGCGGGAGTCGGGATGTAGACGTCGCGTGAAGCGATAGCGAGGAACAGAGTAGACCAGCAGCGGTTGACAGACAGAGAGGAGACGATGAACGTCGCTCGGTCTTGGGGACTGACTTGCAGTGAGTCGTCGGACCAGAACAGCCCAACAATTTCTTCAACGAGTTCGATTGGAAGACGAGGCGAGTCCATCTTTGTCTGCCGTCTTCTGCCTGTCTCTTCTTTTATACGTCTTCATCGAGAAAAGACAGGAGACTTGTTCCAGACCCGTGGCTGTGCCGTTGTCTTGAATGACGTCACAGTGTCTTGCAAAAAAATAAGCATCTACTCAGACGATACACCGTTCGGGAATCGAACCTCAGCCGCTTGCTCGGAAGGCAGGCACGGTAACCACTTTACCAACGGGATTTCCATGGTCATTGACACAGGTCATTGTTGCCAGTAGAGGCCCTATTACAAGTACCCTTTGTTTCGCCCGTCTCTTATCTCCGCATGTTTCTGTTTCTAACAGCCCAGCCTTAAATGTATGAGAGACTTTTCAGACAAACCCCTCGTTTAACACCTACGTTTCACTGGAATATTGGATGTGGGACATATACCTACTAAGGTACTTTTTCCTTTTTTTTTGCCAAGGTTTTTTGTCTCCCTCGCTCTTTTTTTTTTGTTCTTCATAGGATCATAGCGAGGATTAACACCACCTTTAGACTCGGACTCGAACTCGGAATCGGCAAGTCATTGCCATCCAACCTCAAGTTGCAAGTCTAGTCTAGTTAGAACCTAGGGCTTTTGCTAGTCACTCTCAGTTTTCTCAATACTTTAGTGCTGGTTTACGGGCCGCAGCCTCAGCACCGAAACATCGAATCAAAAATCCATCCGTGAAAATTAGTTCCTCCTTCATTGCATCAGTACGCTATGACTTTCGGTTCCAGTTCTTTCGGGGTTTCTTTCTCTTTGTTTTTTCAATCTAATTCATCAATCATATGAGTGTCCCTTCTTAACTTTCGTTCATACACTTATAGTTTTTTTTTCTTCTTCTTTCTATTCATTTGGTTCATTCAACTCACTCAACTCAACTCATTTCTCTTATCTCGTGCAACAGTCTCTTGTAACGTCCATGCCTAGTGCAGCCTCTTCCTCATCCAGTCCAACAAGCCTGCCTCTTAATCCGTCCAAAAAGAATAATCGTCATGTCAGTGTTTGTATACTTCAAAAATACGAGTGATTTGCCAGGATTTTGGCTTCCTTGTGATTTTGGCTTGTGCATAGGCACTCGAACCAGATGTATTCAATCTGATACGAATAGATCTGAGTTGTACGGCAAGCAGAACGGAGGGCATTGATGGATAAGGGGTCATCAAATTCTGCACCGAGGACATTGAAGTATCCTATTCTTTCCGCTTCTTTGTGTTCTATTATAGGGTTATCCTTCCAAGTTAAGCATCGCATCGTACATAACCACTAGGCATCCGGAGTCTGAGTTCAGTCAGGGGGAAAGGAAAGTCTTCAAAGCCTACTCGTCGATTACCAAATCATCTTCTTTAACAAGCGCACGACAGTTGAATGAATCATATACGACTCGGTGTACAGTGGCTTTGATGGAGATGATACTTTGAGATCGGAGTTGGATCAAGGAGAGGGTGAGGATAGTTTTGGACACTACAGATGTAGTCATCATCTAGTGCTTACGGGGTTGACCAATGACCGTAACACGCGCTGCAGCCAAGTAAGCACTCACCTTTTTTGACTTTGGCTGAACCAAGGAGTAACACTAGTGTATCTCATATGACTGTCAAGGTTCCGAAATGGACAAAAGTGGACATATTTTTTTTTCATTTCCAGTACTTTCTTTCTATACCTCGATATTTTTTCGTTTATCCGTCGAAAGATCTCTATACACCGACAGCAAATCAATTTTCACCTGTACAGCCCACCAAACATACCATACAAGGTATGGACAGCGGCCCCCTGTCCATATCTTGTTAGGTTCAATTAGCACCAGGTCTCGATAGCGCAATATTTCTGGAAGATTTTTGCATTTTTTTAAGAAATAACTTTAGATTTTGTGCTTAGCCATGCGGTCAGACGTCGTTCCGACATCACCATGTGATGTCTTATGATCGCGTGATGTCCCGCTCCCTTCCCGTCGCCCGTCGGCATTCCAAAGGCGCTCCCGACGCAATTTTCTTAGATATTGCAATATTCCTTAAATAATATAGCAATATTTTTAGAATAACTTGAGTGATTTCAAGGCTCATCGCACACTTGAAATCATTTTATGATGTCAGTACCATAAGTCCCGCCCCCCCCGCCCTGTCGGGCTCTTTGATTCCAAACCCAACCCCCTCTTCCTCTCTTTCCCATTCTCAAATTTAAAGCCCCAACAATTTCTTCTCAGCCTTCAGGGTTGGCTACTCTCCTCTATTTCTCTCTCTGAGTATTCCAAGCTTCAAGGTAGACCTCCCTAGCTTCTCATGGTGTGATTTGTCTTTGGACTTCGAGGTGAATCTCTCTAGCTTGTTGTGCAATTTGTCTTTGAGCTTTGAGATGGCTCTCTCTAGCTTGTCGTGAAATTTGTCTTTGAGCTTCAATGTGGATCTCTCTAGCTTCTCGTCTTGCATAGAATTTGTCAATAGCACGTTGACGAGCAAGGACGAGACGGATAGGGAGGAGGAGGAGGTAGAGATCCCTACAGGTGTATCCGCAGCACAGGTACCTACAGGTTTCATCCATAGGAAACCTGCAGATACAGGTACCCATTTCTCATGGATATCTTGCAGATAGAGGTCTCTGTTCCACATATTTAAGTATATCTGCCGGTATCCACAGGTATCTGTAGTTTCTAAAGTAAAAGAATGGAGGGGGCTTGATCATGTATAAGAATTGAGTAAATATTGATCACCACAACATTTTCTGGAACTGAAAGTTGTTGCAGATAAGTTCACCTTAATTCCCATTTATTTAGTAAAGAATGAGTCAAAAAAGGAAAAGATATATATGCAAAATATATGCAAAATATATGATATCATAAAGCCAAAAACTGAACATATTGAAGATAAATTTTTTAATGGAACCTTCCAGAAATAAAAGTTATACTGAATAAAAATCCCTTTAGTTTGATATACTAGGAAGTTATATGCCAAATACACATGAAGTTACAACTTTTTGCAAAAACTGAACATATTGAATAAGTTTACAGATAAATTTTTTTATGAAACATTCCAGAAATGAAAGTTATAGTGGATGAAAACACCGTCGATTTGAGATACCAATCATCAAAAATGGATGGAAAATCAGGAAGTTATATGCCAAATACACATGAAGTTACAACCTTTTGGCAAAAAATGAACATATTGAATAAGTATACAGATAATTTTTTTGTGAAATCTTTCAAAGATGGAAGTTATAGTGGATAAGAACTCCTTTAATTTGAGATACCAAACATTGAAAATGAGGAAGTTATATGCCAAATACACATGAAGTTGCAACCTTTTTGCAAAATGAATAACTCTGCTAATACTGATAACCAAGATACACTCTATAAATGAAAGTTGGAGTAATTATATTCACATTTATCTGGGCATGCTTAGCATAAATATTGAATAAAAAACAAAAAAGATATAAAACCCGTGGGTATGAGCACGGATAACCCGCAGATGTAAGTATCTGTGGGGATCTCTACAGAAAACTGTAGTGAGCCCAGTTGTAATGACTACTTAACGGGTTGTAACAAATGTTTTATTATACACCACTCCCGGCCCCCTTGCGGGTCAGCCCATACTGTATCATTTTGTTCAATTTGTTTGTCACACATCACAGAGATTTTCATTGATCCTGTCAATAATTTTTATTTTTCTCAATTCTTCTGTTTTTTGGAGATTTCTCAGAAACACAAAAAGTCACATTTTGAGTCAATTGGACAAAATTGTACAGTATGGTATAGTATACAAGTAACTCCGGCTTCTGTCTCTGATCTTGTCCCCACAAAGTGCGTAATTGCCAGTGCGTAATTGCATTTCCTCGATATATGTTCTAGGTACGTACCCATATACACTAACGCGGAATTCGCGTAACCAACTGTACAATCCCTCCTGACTAAAAAATCCTGACTCCACACGCTAACTCGGGTCTGCCGTGGTGGAGGTGCTAGTCCTTATCAGGTAAGTCTACTGTTCTCACCTCGGTTCTTCCTAAAACGGAACATTTATAATATTTATATGCTTAGTCAAACACCTTCCACATCCACTTGCAACTCCCTGCTTCAGTATGTCAAATTCTCTACTACAGTACTTGACAATAGCGTTCGATTTCCTCACCGGGTTCAACAAGCTTTGGATCCTGTTTGGAGTGACTATCACAGCTCAGATCTTCTCCTACTACAAACAAACTTTGAAAGGAAAGCTACCACCTGGACCGACAGGTCTGCCAATTGTTGGCAATCTCTTCCAGGTTTCGACGGAAGCATGGAAGGAGTTCACCCAATGGAAACACCAATACGGTATGTGGACTGATGCACTTTGTTGCCCCTGAGAACCTCAACATCAGGTCTGTTATAGGACCCATTGTCTATCTCAACCTTGCCGGAACAGACATGGTCATCCTCAACTCGCACAAGGCAGCCACTGATCTTCTTGACCGTCGCACGACAATTTATTCCGACAGACCTCGTAATATTGTTGCGTCGGAGATATTAACTCGCAGCCTCTTTCTTTTCTTGCGGCGTTATGATGACCTGTAGGTTTCTTTTTCCGACTTCTTGAGAAATCTGGGTTCCGATCTTTTATGATAGGTGGCGTGCAATGCGCCGCGTTACGCATGAGGGTCTTCACAAAGGCATTGCAAAAAACTACTTCCCTGTTCAAGAAAAAGAGGCAATTTACCTAGCAGCGGCCATGATCAAAGACCCTTCATCTTGGGACGAGCATTGTCGGCGAACAGCCGCGTCAACAATTATGAGTCTCATCTACGACACCCCTCTGATCAAAGACGAAAAAGAACCCTCAGTGGCGTATATCAATGACTGTGTCGCCCGGATTACTCGTGCTGCATCTCCTGGCGCACATTATGTTGAACAATTCACCTGGATGAAATATCTACCGTCAGCGATTGCTCCTTGGAAGAAATATGCCGAAGAATGGAACAAGAAAGACGAGCTTGTGTTCAAGGGGTTATACAACAGCGTCTGCAAACGAGTGGTACGTGTCTTACTCTTGTTTTTTCACCTTACCAACCACTTTTGCAGGCATCCGGTGACGATAGACCAAGTTTCTGTGCCACAATCATCAAAGATAAACTGAACGAATTGAGCAACACCGAAGCCACTTATCTTGCAGGATCAATCTAGTGAGTAGGCTACAGTGACACTCTAAAAAACAGCATTCTGACAGCTAGCAGTGCCGCCGGCGCGGAAA